GTGATTATTGATTCTTCCTCGTGTTGTCGTCCATACCATTCCCTTACTAGAGAAGGAATAGAAAAACTCTAACCCTAATTACAAAGAAAACAATCAATCTAGCAATTGAAGTTTTCTTGATCCTTTGGTGCCTTTGTGTGGATGAGTTCGTGCAATCCTACGCTTAGATTGATTTGTGGAATAATGAAATTTAAGTGAAAGAGTCTCCAACGGTAGTAAGTTTCAAAACCTTGTATGGTTGCTATGTTTATTTAATCAAATACATATAATCAAAACCCTGATTTTGGGTTCATAGGAAATTAGGATTAAATTTTTTTTTGTATATTCCAATGCGTAATCCCAAATTTCCTTACAAGTAAAGGTGTTAATTGAAAAAAAAAATAAAAAAATTAGGAGTTGAATGACACGGTAAATATCTACTTTGTTGACTCATAAGTGTTGTTATGGAGGTGATATCATAGTTAGAATGCAACTAAACACCTATATTCAATTAAAGCTAAAACAAATCCTGATGTTCATGATGTTTGTTGTGCTTGGAGTTGGAGTTGGAGAATATCATGTAGGAATGCCACTAATTGCGCTGTCCAACTTTTAAGGCTACTATATTATATAGTAAATCGTTTTTTAACCCTTATCTAATTGATCTTCATCCTCCATGGCTAAGTACATATCTTCTATAATTGACAAATAAAATCTCTTTAAATCCCCTAAAAAAAAAAAACCTAAATTAGGTTTTTTTTTTTAACACCTCTTTTCCCCTAATTTCTAATTTCAATTTATCTTCTCTTCTTCATATTCAAATTCAGCCTGTTATGTTTTCTATAATTTTAGTATTATATTTCTATTAAATAAAAAAAAATTTAAAATAAAACAAAAGGTTTAACGATTATGAAAATTTAGGGTTACAGTTTATGAAAGATTAAATATTAAAATTAAAAAAAAAATGTAAAAAAATAGAGTATGAGTGTATTTAGAAATTATAATGTTATTTATAATAATTTAAATAAAAGTTAAATATGTCAAAACAAAAAAATAAATATCTACTTTGTTGACTCATAAGTGTTGTTATGGAGGTGATATCTTAGTTAGGATGCAACTAAACACCTATGTTCAATTAAAGCTAAAAACAAATGAATAAAGATAAGTTGACAAACACTTCTCACAATTTTTACTCACAAATAAGACGTGGTAGCTCGCATTTAGTCAGGTGAGACCTATTGTTGGACAGACATGACCCGTTATGAACTGACATGTCACGTTTGTGAGAGAAAATTAGTGAGAATTGTTTGTCAATATAGTATTACTGAAAACAAATCTTGATGTTCATGATGTTTGCTGCTTGGAGTTGGTGTAGGAGTGCCACTAATTGCACAGTCCAACTTTTAAGGCTACAATATATTTTTAACCCCTGCCTAATTGATCATCGTCCTCCATGGCTAAGCACATCTCTTCTATAATTAAAAAATAAAATCTCTTTAAATCCCATTTAATACTGAAAATAAACACTCCAATTTCAAACTTAATTAGGCTTTTTGTCTTTCTTAAATCAAACTGAATTAGGTTTTTTCTTTACACCTTTTTTTTCCCTACTTTCTAATTTCAATTTATTTTCTTTTCTTCAGATTCATATTCATCCTATTTTCTTTTCCATAATTTTAGTATTATATTTTCTTCAAATAAGCAAATATTTAAAATAAAACAAAAGGTATAATTGATTATGAAAATTTAGGGTTATGGTTTATGTAAGATTAAATGTTAAAATTATATATATATATATAATAGAATATGAGTGTATTTAGAAATTATAATGTTATTTCTAGTAATTTAAATAAAGGTTAAATTTGTCAAAACAAAAAAATAAATTTAAAAATGGGGGTGAAGACCAATTAGGTGGGGGCTAAAAATCACTACCCTATTATATAAGGGGTGTGTTAAGCAGATAGGTTTGGTGCATTTCACAAATACTGTATCCGTAATTTTCTTAAACCCAGTTGGGCTGGGCCAACCACCCCAAGGTGACGGTAAACAAAATCAGTTTTAGGTAGGACAACAAACTCCTTTATTTAAGCCCATTAATTCTTTAATACTTGTAATTATAAGTTATTTTTTAGTGCGAAATTACTTAAATAACCCTCCAATATATTGGAAATTTTTAAGAGTTTGTTTGGCCAAGCTTATAAAAATTACTAGTGCTTATAAGATAATTTGAACTTATAATCATTTGAAATTTAAATAGTTATATGTTTGATTAAAGTACTTATAAGCAGTGGCGGATTTACTTAATGACGAATGGGGACCACGACCCCCACTCAAACTTTAAAAAACTTCAGATTGTATAAATATTTATATTTAGTTGTATTTTACCCCCTATAAGACTTTGACATTTTGCCCCCACAAGAGTTTGACATTTTGCCTACTATATAACTTTGACATTTTGGGAAAAGAAAAGCTTTTTTGGTTATTGAACTCTTACAGTACCAGCACAAAACACACGCTGAAACCTCTCTTCCCCTTTTTCTCTTTGGAAAATTTTTTTCTTGTTTATTTTTTGCCCCCATCGAATGAAATTCCTGGATCCGCCACTGCTTATAAGTAAATGATAAATAGTTGACGTATTTAGTAAAATATGGTATATAAGTATATTTTATTGTTAAAATTACTAAAAAGGGTACTGCATTATTTTATCAAATAATGAATTATATTAACTCAATTTTTACTATAATATTATCAAAATATGTTTCAATTATATTACAATATAATTTAATTTTAGAATTAAATAAACAAATACTTTATAGATAAATATTTTATTAAAAATTTATATGAATAATTTTTAGATTTTTTATAAAAAATAAATTAATGAACACATCTAATGAATTATAATTATATTCAAAAATAAATAAATGATGAAATTTTAAAATTAAATAGGGGTAATGTGATAATATATTTTGCCAAAGTAGCTTATAAATAGAGAAAAAAAAAGATTTTCATTACACATGGCGTATTGCTCCAAGTCCAGTTTAATTTAATTGATAAAAGAGGAGAAATAACTGACATATTGATAAGTTAATTAATTTGATAAAGAGAAAAAAAGGAATTAAATAAATAATTCTTTAACATTCAATCAACAAAAAACCATTTTCTATGACATCCAAAGTTTTTTGTCAATGAATTTAACGGGAAATAATTGATAGATATTTTACTATATATATAAATTTTTGCACAACTTAACTAATATTTAGAATCTATTGACATTTTATAAACTCAATGGACTAAATAACCTAACGTCTTGCTGTCCGACCAAAAAAGTCTTTTGAAGAACTTCACAATTCCACTCCTTAGGCAAGAATGGGCAAAGTTCAAGAAGAATTTCAATTTTAGTTATGAAATAAATTAACGGGAGTTTGTGAAAAATAAAGCCTCGACTGGATAATTGATACTTACACAAGGGTCTTTTTACCAATTTTATGTTTAAAATATAAATTTAATTTTAGAAAAAAAAAAATAATAGATGCTCTTTTGGGAATCATATTTGAGTATTCAAATTTTATTTTTATTAAGTAATATTATGTATATAAAATTGAATTACTAATGTCATTGATTACGATAAATATCACATTTAATTATAATAAAGCTTGAGTAAACGACTTTTTCCCACCCAAATAATGATTTAATGACACTTTTTCACCCACAGACTTTTAAAATATCATTTACTACCCAAATTTATATTATGTTTCTGATCCTGACATCCTTGCGACCTCACACCACTGTCATTCTCTTTCTTGATCATCATTCATCAAAACCCCTCAAACCCTACTATCGTTAACCCTGCCAATTGCCAGCAATCGAGTGATTAGGGTTTGCGCAACCGCCTCTCCTAAGTCAAATTCCAATTAATTTTAACCACTAAAATCCAATCTTCCACCACCAAAAGACTCATTGACCTCTCTTCTTCAAAACCCCAATACTTTGAACTGAGTTTGCTTTCTGTTCATCATCAAAATATAAATTTGAGTAGTAAAGTGGTATTTTAAAAGTCAATGAGTGCGAAAATGTAATTAAGTCATTATTTAGGTGGGAAAAAGTCGTTAACTCAATAAAGTTTGTATCAATGTGGTATTTATGCATATGCAAATATGCAATCACCTCAAGGATTTAAAGATAGATTCAAATTTTATTTATATAAAATTATTCATAAGTGTTATACAATAAACTTTACATTAAAAAAAAAAAAAAGAGTAAACAACTTTTTCCCACCCAAGGTTTGCCTAAATGACACTTTCTTACCTAAAAAGTTTTAAAATATCACTTTCTCTCTCAAAGTTAATATTTTGTTACTATTCAAAGCCGATTCCGGTAACAAAAATTCTCTCCACATTATCATTTGAATCTTTGGTCTCCTCTCTACGAAACCCCTCTCACTCCATTACCTGATTTCTCGTCGATTGTTGGCCATTGCAAAGCTAAGGTTTCGTATTTTTAGTTGAATTCTGGCTGATTTCGGTAACAAATATTCAATCAGTCACCACCATTAGATCCACCTTCCTCTACTCTACAAATCTCCTCTTACCTTGGCTCCTAATAACTTGCCGATCACTGGTTGAGAGAGCGAAATATATTTTGGGTATTTAACAAGATATAAATATTGTGTGGAAAAGTGATATTTTAGAACTTTTTGGATGGGAAAATGTGATTAAGGCAAACCTTGCGTGGGAAAAAGTCGTCTACTCTTAAAAAAATCATCAAATAAGATCGTTGGCAGCACTTCACTTGAGAAATTTCTTTAAACCCAAATAAATTTTTTTTGGGTTATTTTATTAGAAGTCAATAAATATGTATTAAATTATTTTCCTATTATTTATTTTCTTCAGTAGATTTTTTTTTTATTTAATCATATTTTAGCAAAAAAATGTCGAATAAAATAATATAGTTGGCTTTTATGACTTGCATAAATAAATAAATGTGGGTTTGCGGTTTGCCTATATTTAGCAAAAAAAAAAAAAAAAAAAGGGGAGAAAGACAGAAGAAGCTCTAAGTTGGATGGCAGATGCAGGGACGGGAACGAAGAGGAGAAAAATGGGTGAAAGAAAAGAAGCTAATAATTCCAAGAAATCAGCAGCAACAAAATGGCCAAATATCAAACCCAAACTAAACCTTCAAATTCATCGTCTCAAAGACACAGATCTCTTCACTGTACGTTTTTCTTTCTTCTTTTTTCATATTAGTTTGTCCACCGTTTCGGTTCCTTCTTTCTAATGTATTATCTTTTGGCTAGATTAATGTGGTAATCTTTGTTGTAATCAATTTTTGTAATTGAAGGGATGCTTTGTTGAAGTTTCTACTTGAAGTAATTTTCCATGCGAGTTCCTGTTATTTGATTAGGATTGTGATTTACAAGGAGTAGAATTCGAAAGTGACCTAAGCTATAGCTCTTGTTTTTTTAGGAATCTTCTTCATGATGTTTCATTTCTCAAACTGGGCGTGAAAGCTTGTCCTGGATATGTGGCTTATTTATTTTTGTTATTGTATTTCATTAAAGGAATATTTTCTCAAGCCAGTTTCATGTGAATTCTCCAGTTGTGATTGTTCTATGTTTATGTTTTCAGGTGAAAAATTTCTTCACATCTGCTGAATCAAGGGCATTTGTTAAAGTTGCTGAATCAATGGGTTTTGCTCATCAAGGGAGTCTTGGTCCATTAAAAGGTGAAGCTTATAGAGATAATGATCGAATTTCTGTGAATGATCCTGTTCTTGCGGATGCAATATGGGAGTCTGGACTTAGCAAATTATTTACTGATATTAAAATTCGGGGGAAGGTTGCTGTTGGCTTGAATCCGAGTATCAGATTCTACAGGTTCATATTTTCTGCTGTAAATTTGATATCATTTTTTCATGTGGATATCTACTATAAGGCATAAGCACTTGACTGGCAAGGTGGTAATCATTTTTACTATAAACTGGTACAAAGAGGAATTCTCAAACTATGTCAGGCTTATTCACGAGTCACAAACCGTCTCTGTGCTTTATAAATTGGGTATATTGCTTAAAAAGAATTCTTGTGGATTTGATACTACCAGGGATTTCTGTCAAGTACATATGTCCACTGTGATATGCTAATGGAATTCCCGAATTGTTGGTACTTCCAAACTGGAATCCTTTTTATGTTTAGGAATTAATTTGTTTTCTATATTTCAGGTACAAGGTAGGTCAACGATTTGGAAAGCATATTGATGAAAGTGTCAGTCTTGGAGATGGAAAGCGCACACATTATACTTTGCTTATATATTTGAGTGGTGGTGTTAAAGCCAAGGCTAAAAATGATCCCAGTACCCCCAATGATACTTCCTTGGAGCCTTTAGTTGGAGGAGAGACTGTCTTCTATGGTTCAAGGAATAATCTTGTGGCCGAGGTGAATCTTTTTTCTTTGATCTTTTCCCCTATCATTTCTTTGTTATGCAAGAATGAGCTTTTTATGCCCCTGGATTTTTTTCTTTTTTTTTCATGTACTAGAGTTTCATTTTCGTGAATATTACTTATCTAACAATTTGTATTGTATAGGTGGCTCCCACTGAAGGAATGGCTCTCTTACACATTCATGGTGATAAGTGTATGTTGCATGAAGCCCAGAATGTTACTAAGGGTGTCAAGTATGTGTTTCGTTCGGATGTAGTTTTTGCTTGAAGACCAGTTGTTACTAAACCAAGCAGGCCTGGTGAGTTTTTCATGATGAGTCAGTTTATGCCATAATCTTTTTGTTTCTATAATTCAAAATCCTCGGTAACCCAGCTTATTAAGCATTATTGTCCAAACAAAAACACATAGTTTCTTGAGTGACCAATACCATAGTGGCTGATATGCTGCAGTTGATATCTAATAGAAATCATTTTCATTTTACAATTTATTTTAGTAGAAGTTTGTCTTTGACCAGAGGATGCACTTTTTTAAGTGTGAACATGTTATATTATCTTTCTGTTCGTGGATCAAGGAGATATTGTTCCACTTCGAGAATTACCTTGATACCATTGGTATCATTAAATATGCCTTTGGGACTAAAATGGAGTTTGAGGCAAGTCAATACTTCCATGAAGAAATAACCAAATGGGGGCTCAACCTAAGTGCAGTGTCGTGCGAGTTTAGGATTTGGATCATTTGATTTCCATATCTGTATCACAGCTGTTATGAGAATATATCTATCTTTATTCTTTTTTGTTGTAAAGTATACAATTCTTCATTGTCTAGTTTAGGACTTTGCCTACAGAACAACTCTGTTATGCTCAAATTTGGTAGCAGGACTTCTCCATATAGATTGTGAATTTAAAAACTGGGGTTTGACATGCCATAATATTAACAAATGCAATCTTTTCAATGTACATCATACACTGGCTCCTGGTTGCCTTATCATTAATTCATTGATGGAAATTATTTACGACCTGACACCTTACAGCGACATTTAGATCTTAACATCAGACTCTGTTGCTTTTGCCACAATATGGATTTCTTTCTAGCAATGAAAATTTCATAAAACATATAGGTTGCCACAATTTAGTAGGCAAACGTAAAGTGATTATCTTGTATTCTTCTCATTACAACTCGGGCGTGTAAAACGGAGGAAAATGATTGGGAAAGTTTAGGTTTGAGCAGTTCATGGCTGTAGTGAGTATGACAAAGTACATATAAAAGAAAAAAGTACATATTATTTTACATTAAGTGATGATCAAATACTTGATGAGTTTTATTGATGCCTCAGTAAAGTCTGATACAATTGGCTGCTGAGTTATCTCTGTTTCGTTAACCTTCACAGTAAACGATTTCTTCTCTTCAAAAGCTGAAAAGGAAAGAAGAGATGGGTTCACGGTGAAAGTTAGAGGATTGGGTATATACACATTTGCAGAGTAGGTTGAACCAGGTAAGGTTACATAGGTGACTGCCCTAGTAAAATTGCCCATGATCTTCTGCCCATCTTCTATGTCTATTGAGAATGAGGAGTAGTTCAGGTCCCATGCCCTGCCAGGTTTGGCGCTTTCACAAACACTGTCATCACCAGTGACAAATCTTAGTCTGGAGGAAACATCCTAGGGAAACTGATACAAAATCAACTCCATCTGCAATTGCATCATCAAAAGCGGCTAGGACATCTGCAGCAGGGCATCCATAAGCCCAGCTAACTCCGTACCCAACAATACATGAATTGGTGATTGGTCCGCAAAAATAGAGTTTCCAAATTGTGACTAGATTATAATTAGGGAGCGTTTGGTTGGCGATAATGTCAGATTATTGGGGTAATGTCATCTTATATTACTTGATTACCACGTTTGATTGTCAAGTAATATAAGATTCCGGTAATCTTCAAATACCAATAGTAGTTATTATTGGTAATATTGGAGGTAATCTGATTACCTCCATTTTCTTAGGTATTCTGAGATTACCAGGGTTATCATTTTTTGTTACAATTTTATCCTTTATTAATGAAAATTTTGGACAATAATGCCCTCATTTTAAAATAAATTTACATTAATATCCTATTTCAATTTTACTCTTATTTAACTAAAATTTTTGACAATAATGTCCTTGTACTTAAAACAATTTATAGACCACTGCCACTCAGCCACCACTACCACTACCACTACCACTACCACCACCGCCGACAGCGGCCAACCACCACGGACCGCCATCGAAAACTCGTCGGAGTCCCTAAAAAGAACGAGTTTCGGTGGGAGGCTCCGGGAGGCATCGATATGGCCGTTTCCGGCCATATCTGGCTAGATCTGGCCGGAAATGGCCAGATCTATTCTGGCCATTTCCGGCCAGATCGGTGGATCTGGCTGTTCCTTGGCCATTAGCGGCCAGATCTCGCCCAGATCTGGCCGCTAATGGCCAGAATAGATCTGGCCATTTCCGACCAAATCTGGCCTGATATGGCCGTTTTCGGCCATCAGTATGGCTGAAAACGGCCATAGCGATGCCTCTTGGTCACGGTGAGTTGCTGATGGGGAGTTTCGGAGACTTTTGGCGGTGGTCTGCGGTGGCGGCAGGAGGTGGGGGTGATTTTGTTATAAATTAAAGTTTTATATAAGCGGGGGTGTTTTAGCTAAATCTGAAATATTGGGGGTTAAAAGAAATTATTCAAAATATTAATAATAAAAATAATCTTATATTAATATTTAAAAGGGGGACAATTTAGTAATTTAAATAACATACCCACCAATTTATTTCCCATAACCAAACATATTCATATAACATACCCACCAACAAACCAAACACATTTTTTTAAAGATTCCCAGTAATCTTCTAAGGTAATCTATCTTCCCAGTAATCTAACATTCCTAAATCAAACGCCCCATTAGAGTAATACTCGGTCTACAACATATTCTTACAATCCCCGACGTGATAACTTGTTATTAGTCAACTTGTAAAATGGGTCTCACTGTTTGTATGGTTTCGTCTACCCATTTACGAGCTAATTAATGACGAGTTATCACGTCGGAGGTTGTGAGAGAAAGTTGTGGACCTAGCATTATTGCTATAATTAATATATCTAATATGTGTGATTTTGTTTTTAATATCTTTAATCTTGATTTTAGATAAGAACACAGTGGCATTCTATCTTTTATTTACAATATAATATCAAAATTTTACTTTTAAATAGGAAATATGTTTGTGTTAGTAATTTAATAATATATTATTATTATTATTATTATTGTTTTAAACAGAAAAACAAAGCAATATATACCAGAATATTTTATTTTTAGTTTATTTTCATTAATCAATAATCATAAGGTTGACCTGAAAAATAAAAGGTTACATGGAAGAAACTAGAAAGCGAAAGAAATTTATTTATTAAAAAGAATAATTGAATTGTTTAAAATTTAATATTACCTCAATAACATGCTCAATTATACAACGTTATTAAAAGAGAAAAATCTTAATAAATCTCTGGTTTATTTTGCTCTCTCATTCACTCTATCTCTCTCACTTTCATTAGTTTAGAACTCGGCATTTCAACCTCACTTCCCCATTTTCAATCACACCCACATTTCCAAGTTTCAACATCGAAGCCACAAATTCTCTAAAGAACAACCCTTGATCCCTGGCAAATGATTCCACGATCCATCTAGTCCTGTAATCACCAAACAACGATTGATCTGATCCGAGTACGCCTTTTCCCACCATAAGTTGTTTGTAATAGTTATTATCAAAAGTTGAGGATGTTGAATCCAAGAACTCTCCTGCATTGCGATCCTTGTTTGGTTTTGGGCATTTCTTTTTCAGGTTTTGGCCGAAGTCAACATTCATTGATGGGTCTGTGTCGTGCACTTTGCTAAAGTTACGTAGCCTGGCTTCGAACGATGAACAATGAGAAAACCCTAGAGTGTGACCACCGGATAAAGCGACCAAATCTTTAACTCCTAAACCTCTCTTAGAAAAACTTTGAATGAGTTGGGAAACATTGAAACTTGGAGCTGGTAAGTTAATGGTTTCCGCCGCTTTGGACACTCTCCCGTCTTTCCTTCCTTTTAGAACATTCCAGTAAGGGCCTCCGGACTGAAAGTTAATAACAAATAATCAAGAGCATCGTCTGAGATTGTTTATGAAAAATACCAATTAAACCTGTTATATATATATAGTGATGGAGCCGGTATTTTACCATTGTCACGACATCTCTTGCTGCAACGGCGATTATATCCGCACAGGAAACAGTATGTGGACAAGCCATTTCAAGCTTAGCCTTCGCGTGATCAATCACGTAAAATGATCGAACTGAGATGTTGGGAGGTCCATCTTTCTCAGCTTTGTTTTCTGGAGTCGAATCTAGCAACAATGACGCGTCGCATCCCTAAACCAATACAGTACATACTCATCAATCAATTGACGAACATATTATTTACAGACCCATTTAACTAACGAATAATGACAGAGTGGGAAAAGTAATTAATTTCATACCCTTATGAAGCAGTCGTGAAAGAACATCCTGAGAATCCGAGCTGGGACTTTAGGGTCATGCATTGAAGCATTACGAACTGTATCCAAGATGATTTTCTCAGCTTGTGGACATGTTTCGTCATAATAATGGTCATTGAGAACTGCTTGTGACCGCTGAATTGTTAGTAAGAGAAGAAAAGTAATTGGACAAATGAGTTTCTCTGGTGCAAAAACTGGCATTTTGTTTATAATATTTGTAGTAATAGATAGCATAGAGGAAAGGGAAAATGAAGAGTTGGATGAAAATTTTCATCTTAGTATGGAAGTATAAATAACAGTGATATTGATGTATCAGTATAAACATAAATATTAATTAAACAATATAATTTGGTTTTTGTATATATACTTTCAAGTTACTCAAAAAGAAGAAAAAATGTAGAAAAACTAGACGCTGGTTTTGGTGTGCTTTGAGACCAAGTATTTCCACCTAATAATAAGCACTTATCTTACAAGATCAACAAACTATTTCACAATTATAAGTGAAATCAAATCATCTTGTTACATATATAAACTGTATATTCATATATANAGTTGGGAAACATTGAAAGTTGGAGCTGGTAAGTTAATGGTTTCCGCCGCTTTGGACACTCTCCCGTCTTTCCTTCCTTTTAGAACATTCCAGTAAGGGCCTCCGGACTGAAAGTTAATAACAAATAATCAAGAGCATCGTCTGAGATTGTTTATGAAAAGCACCAATTAAACCTGTTTTATATATATATGTATATAGTGATGGAGCCGGTATTTTACCATTGTTACGACATCTCTTGCTGCAACGGCGATTATATCCGCACAGGAAACAGTATGTGGACAAGCCATTTCAAGCTTAACCTTCGCGTCATCAATCACGTAAAATGATCGAACTGAGATGTTGGGAGGTCCATCTTTCTCAGCCTTGTTTTCTGGAGTCGAGTCTAGCAACAATGACGCGTCGCATCCCTAAACCAATACAGCACATACTCATCAATCAATTGACGAACATATTATTTACAGACCCATTTAACTAACGAATAATGACAGAGTGGGAAAAGTAATTAATTTCATACCCTTATGAAGCAGTCGTGAAAGAACATCCTGAGAATCCGAGCTGGGACTTTAGGGTCATGCATTGAAGCATTACGAACTGTATCCAAGATGATTTTCTCAGCTTGTGGACATGTTTCGTCATAATAATGGTCATTGAGAACTGCTTGTGACCGCTGAATTGTTAGTAAGAGAAGAAAAGTAATTGGACAAATGAGTTTCTTTGGTGCAAAAACTGGCATTTTGTTTATAATATTTGCAGTAATAGATAGCATAGAGGAAAGGGAAAATGAAGAGTTGGATGAAAATTTTCATCTTAGTATGGAAGTATAAATAACAATGATATTGATGTATCAGTATAAACATAAATATTAATTAAACAATATAATTTGGTTTTTGTATATATACTTTCAAGTTACTCAAAAAGAAGAAAAAATGTAGAAAAACTAGACGCTGGTTTTGGTGTGCTTTGAGACCAAGTATTTCCACCTAATAATAAGCACTTATCTTACAAGATCAACAAACTATTTCACAATTATAAGTGAAATCAAATCATCTTGTTACATATATAAACTGTATATTCATATATAAATATTGATTCATATAAATTTATATGAAACTATAATGTAATTGTTACATATCAAATCAATTCATTTAACTTGTTAATTTGAACAAGTATTTTGTACGTATAGTTGTACAGAATTGACATTTAAATAATTCCTTGGAGGCTAATCAAGTTCATGTGTGAGTCAAGAGTCAGAAAAGTTACCAATACAATGGTATGCGATTGTTGGGTTATATCTATCAGTTTGGTTATGGCTAGTACAGTTGTTGAAACATGGTTTTGTACTTTAAAAAAAATAAACTGTATGGGTGACAAGCTGCCCAGTACATGTTGTATGGTTGTTAAATCTCATTTGTAGCTTGAGATGTTTGCTGTCAAAACATATATAAAAGAATTAAGTTTCATATTTTAGCCCCCAATATGACTTTAGGATGTTGATCCTTCATTTTTTTTTTTTGTGACCGAGGTTGTCCGGATCAACTTGTGTGCACTTTAACTAATCCTCGAGGGTTCTGAAGTTGACAACTGAGTAAATTTGGCACAATGGTTACCCTTATTAATAATCCAAGTAGATTAAACTCAGGACTCTCTTGAGTAATACATTCAAGAGTCTTAATTGACCATTGGACTACTTAGTGGTGTTGATCCTTCATTTTCTTTTTAGCACACATATTTTTTTAATCTTAAATTACGAAAAATATGTAATCTATTGGTGAAATTAAAAAATAAAACGAAAGAATATTATACCAAGAAGCAAGTAATCAAATCTTTGTCTAATCAAACAATTCTTTTTAGAAATTAAAATATGATAATTTTTCATAAATTTCAGAAGGTGACTTAATAACAATTAAGTCTAAATGGGTTTGGAAGTTACACAAAATAACAGGAGGTTTTTTTTTTTGGGGGGGGGGGGGGGGGTTCAGAACTCAGAAAGACAGAAACACGAGTTTTTGTATTGAACTTGAATGTGTCCTAATTTATGTTTGGGCTTCAAGAAATTGTGCCCAAAACTAGCCTGCAGAAATTTCAGGCCTTTTCGACTAAGATCCATGCTTGACCCAAACAGATCTTCGTCGCCACAAACAGATTTTCACATTCGTAGGTGCTTTAATAAAATATTTTGGGAATTAAGAATATTTAACAAAGCAAAAATTAAAAAATATGACATGAAAATTTGAGCCGCTTTTATATATTTTCCTTGACCTTGACCAATCCAATTTTCAAACTCTAATACAGCCCTATTATGTACCTTACTAGCATTAAAATAAAATTTCACGGTGAACATCTGTGAATAATTCCAATCCGAGATCATCAAGTGCCTCACTGGCATTATAATTATTTAATGAAAAAAGTGTTATGAAATTGTTATATCATCTACAGTGATAAAAAATTTAATCCCATAAATACGAATCTATAAGTAATGAGCCAAAAGCGAAAAATTCCCTTCAAGCAACTATGCAAACAAAAACAAATCCACAGTGAAATTGAAATAATAGGGTTACCAAAAATTGATTAATTTTATATTCATTCATAAAAGTATCCATTCTCATCAAAATCGTGAATTCCTCTTTCAAGTGGATAAGGATGGTGAATGCTTGCCAGCCGTATATTAATAATGATACACGTGTCAACCGATTAAGTGAAATGTCCCCACAGCAACGGCTAATAAACGACGCGTGTCAATTGATCCAGGCTGGTGTGCCAGAAAAGTAGCCCCAAAGACCATTAATGAGGTACAATAAATTGCAGAAATAACAGGTGGGTCCTCATCTCTAGGACCATGTGCCTTCATCACGTGATAAGGCAACTGGTGGCCCGCAATAAACCACCCAGTCACCAACACGTTGGTTTGGTTGACCCACCAAAAAGCGTGGAAACCCCACCTCACACGTGTAAATATCACATCACGTGATCCACCAAAAGAACCAATCAAAAAGTAACATTTAAATTACAGAGACAAAGATAAAGAAAGGGCATAAAAAAAAAAAAAAGAAAAAAGAAATCAAACCGTTCTTTGTTGCTTTTGTTAGAATTACAAAAATCAGACTAAAACCCTAACACTAACACTGTATTATCATCAATATCAAAATCTAAGGTTTTGAACAAGTAGTTGTTTGCTGATTAGCAGACCTACCCAGAAACTGAAGCTCTTTCTTATCATAAATCTCCAGAGAAAAATCTCTAAGCATCTGAGTAGTTGTACTAGCAGTAGTAGTAGAAGTATTAGTAGCGCTAACACTTGTAGCAGCACCTGATGAGCCCGAACTGGGTACAGAAGTAGACCCCAATGCGCCATCCTGAGAAACAAAATTCGAAATAGGTCTACGCTGAAGACTGAAAATTGGAGCCCCCGTGGCAGGAATAGCCCACAAATGAGGCTGGTTAGAACCACCAACACCACCATTAACGATACCAGATTGAGCTGCTGGTAACATAAAAGCGCCCATATGCCATAAAGGAACTAAACCTTGTGCATTAGTTGTCGTGATGGGGGTAATTGGTGCAAGCCCAGAAGAGACAGAGCTTTGGTTATGTTCATTAATGTCGATGAACTCGCTATTACATGGTCTTTTACGCCGTTTTCTTGGTAACTCTTCACCGTCAGGTTTGGCTGCAGAAGTTGTGGGAATTTTTAACGTACCGTTAACGGAAACGGCGATTGCAGGGACTGTGCCTGTACCAGTTGCTTCGATAATAGCTGGTTCTGCGTGTTCAAGTAACCATCTTATAGTTTCTCCGTCGGACTTGTGACCCAACTCGCGAGTTAACTGAAAGATCCTGGCTGCACACGTGGCGGGCATTCTTATCCTACGGCCACGGCCTTCAACTTTTGTGTGTCGATCTTTGGACGGGCGTTTAGGAACAAGCGACCGATTGATTGGTGGGATGGGGACTTGTACAAGGCCTACAGGTAAAGAAGACTGATCAAATTCTTGGTTTTCTGAGTCTGTTAATTCTTCTTCTTTCATGTGGACCGTTGATTCAGGTGGGTCCATAATTGATGCCTCTGATGGAGAAAAGTTGTTGGCGGTGGTGCTGCTTTGTTCTTCATTGCTGTTAACTTCGTCTAAACGCTGCTCTTGATTATTGGAGTCCATGGCGGGAACCTGATTTAACGTTATAACCCCAGAAAAATTAACAGAACCCAGAATAGATTGATGAAAACCCAATAAGAATCAACAAAGAATTGTCATGAAAGACGAGAGTTGTCAAGAATTAAGGAGGGATAAAAGTGGAAACCCTAACTTTTAACAGTTTTAGAAGGAACAGAGAAATTGCACGTTGACTGAGTTTTGAATCTTTTCCCAATACTGTGAAAGATTAGAGAGACTCAAGGACATAAAAACACAGATTTTCTTATCTTAATGTTTTAAATAATAGGAATTACAGGCTAGAGCACAGACAGAGAAATAGAGAGAGAAACAAACCCTAGAAACGAAGAAAGCCCCGCTTATCCTTCTGCGAGTCCTACTCAAAAGAGGGTCCCCCAAACCCTATTTATTTACAGAGGAAAATGCATCGACGGTTGGGAAGGCCTCGGTAGGCATGGGTCCCGGAGATTTTGACACGTGGTGGACCCTACCTTCACTAAGATGGCCCTCTTAGGTGAAACTAGAAGTTGGTCATTTTCAATCAAGGACTCATTTTTTGTGGATTTTGTTTAAGGAGATTGGCGATAGTGCAATAATGCTCACTTCCCATTGAAGCAATTGCCAAATCAAATTTCGGAAGTTATCCAATGTTCCTAGTTGTTAATATTTCAATGTTCTCAACCTGAAAAGTAAAGTTTCTATACATACATTGAATCAAGGGAAGGACAGAAGGGAAAAAAATCATCCTTAGGGGCCGTTTGGATCGGGTTAGTATTAGATAACTGGGATAATATGTTTTTAAATTGAGTAGATGACGATGTTTGATTAGTTTGTAAAAAATTATTTTTGGAATATTTTATAACAAGCAGTAACATTTGAGAGGTAAATTTCCGATAATCTTAATATCGATGGGGGCTGTTATTAAAACTTATACCAGATTAAAACTTACCCTGATATTACAATTTTTTCCCATATTGCCCTTAAATCATTGAGCATTTGGTCCAGATTAACCATATATTTGTTAATATTTACAAAACATCCAATCACTCATGCAGACACTTTTGTCCTTGTTTTTTAAATTTTTCGAAAGACATTACCCTTGTTATTATCATTATTTACATAAATGTCATTATACCCAGAACTAGCCACCACTGACATGTTAGTGTATACCCTATGAACCAATCGTGTCATCGGTTTCGAGACATTATGTTTTATATATATATGTTAATGTACATATTTTGTATATACATTTTATCTTATCAATAGAAGAAAGTGTTCTTATTTCACATGTGGTTTATTGCTTCATTTATATATATGTATTACATGTGAAATATCCAAATGATATAAATCTTTAGAAGATCAAAATCATCAAAGTTTTCCCTATATAGGTAATATTAATTGGGCAATAATATTACATAGTAGGCATTTTGAATGCCTCCGTAGAATATCATGTCATAGTATCAGTGTGGGTGATTATAAAAAGTTATATCACTAGGGAATTAGCATAAATACGCGGTTAGTGAACTGTTAATCGAATATGACTATTTATGATGAATCACATGAACATTAAAATGTAGTTAATGATTTATCATAAGATCGTACTAGTGTATTATTAATTCTTAGACTTGAGATATCACGATTGGATTCTGCATAAACGCATATGGCTCATATGGTGTATAAACACGAGGTTAATCATGTCATGTGTTAATAAGCCGATTTGGCCATGTGTTGTTTATGTGTGAGGACAAGTGATAGTCAAAATGAGATCCGTTGACTTGGTATAGATTAATATCAAGTTCCTAGATAAATGTCAAGATATATTGGAAAAAGAAAATCTCCAACCGGAATACACAAAATGTTACATGAAAGATTGTTTCATAGTGACACGTTCCATATGTATTGAATTAAAATTAAGATAAGGATTTTGACATACCATGAATCCAATCTTAATTGGGATTAGACAACAGAAGGATTTGATTATACAACGTGTATGATTGTAAAATGTTTGTTTGAGTATATCTTCATTGTGACTTAAAGGTTATGGAACATTGCTAGATGCCTACCATAATCAATGAGAGTTTTGTTAATAAAGAGTTATGACAAAACATATCGAAATAGACTGTGATATTGGGCCCACGGTTAGGCCACAGTAAACCTAAGAGGTCACACATAAAAACTAAGGAGAATGGAGAAATAGCCAAAGAGAGTTGATTATCCAAGGTTGGCTAACACCTACCAAGGGTAATAAAGTTATTTATATTAATCATTTTCTTTATATTAAATTGGTTTTTATAAGGGGTTGTAATTTTAAAAAATTAAGGGTTAAATTGTTATGTAAACAATTTAAGAGTTAAATTGTTAATTGCGATTAAATGTTAATTAGATTAACATTTAATCGCAATTAACAATTTAAGAGTTAAATTGTTAATTGCGATTAAATGTTAATCTAATGTTATAATTTAAAGAAGTTTAACAACTTCATAACAATTATTGAATTGTTTACAAGGATTCCTATATAAAGAAAATGATATATCAATTTTTGTGTAAAAAAAAAAATCTCTAAGAACCCTAAATCTCTCTCTTGGCAAAAGTTTCTTCTTCCCTTGGTGTGGATACTCTTTTGCTTAATTTCTCTTAGCTTAAGGTAACATGTTCTACCTTACTTATTTCAATTTGATTGAAATTTTTTTTTTTTTTTTTTTTTTAAACTATGACTATACTTATAATATGCTTGATTCTCCATGTATCCATCTTTCATTACAGCCACCGTCGATCGCCGCTAAAGGCTATCAAAAGTCGCCATAATGGTGTACGACCAATCGTATATGGCCGACCGTGCATCGATGAGGCTTTTTCCGACCATGGATCACATATCCATGGTCGGAAAAAGCCAGATCTGACTGTTTCACCGCCAAGGATGTGGCTATGAAACAACGACTGATCTGGCCGTGAAACAGCCAGGTCTTTGGTCGTGAAACGGGTGGTGTTTTTCACGACCACATCTCTAGCTGTGAAACGACCATAGATCCAGCTATGAAACAGCCAGATATGTGGCACTGTCGACATCACAACCAGATTTATGGCACTGTCAGCGGTTGCCAATGGTGGTGGCTGGCTGTCGACAGTGACTTGGAGTGGATATGAGTGTTTTTGTTAAGTTTAAAATGTTTTTGGTTGCGATGATGTTTTTGCTAAATTTGAAAAGTAAGTGGTTAAAAGAAATTATTCAAAAAGTAATAATAAAAAATATTGTTATATTAATATTTAGAAAGGAGTGCAATTTAGTAATCTATATAACATACTCACCTATTTATCCTCTCAACTAAACATAATATTCACCAATTCATTCAAATCAATCAAGCACATTTTCTAAACATTTCCAGTAATCTTCAAGGTAATCTTTTATTCCGTTAATATAATATCACCTTATAATAAAACATTATATGATCCAAACTCCCCTTAGAAATTAAAATATATTTGATAATAATATTTATGAATATACACCTGAACTTTCCAAGTCTTGACTCGATTAATTTTAGACTTGTAGATCCATGAATAGGTAATCTAAAATTGACTCATCACATTGATCGGATGATTTTACGGTAGATTTAGGACAAAAATATTATCGAGAATCAAATGATTGTGGTCAGAATTTAATTAGAGCGTGTCATAAACCATGGACTAGTAGAATGACTCACGTGTCCAAAACCCAGAGGCCCAGTGGTACTAAAGAGGGCGAACGATGTCATTACCAAATATGACATAATTATCTTCTTGTTAAACCATACAGCCATTCGTCGAGCCCTTGAAGTGTAGAACAAAGAGATCCAAAAGCTAATCAGATAATCAAAAACCTCGAAAGCGAATAGTTCTGAATAAGACCAATGAAGAAATGCTACATTCGCTCACGGGCATAGTAGATTCTTCCATGAAAACACATTGCCAAATCAATTACTAATATAGAAAACGCGTTTACTTTAAAGGACGCTTCTACAATAACATTCCCAAAAAAAAAAAAAAAAAAAAACAATCAATCTTCAAAATCTCACTAAATGTCTAAACGACCACACGGAAACATTCTTCCGACAGGACATCTAGATGACGATTTCAGTTAGAAGTTTCACTAATAATGCCATTTTCATTCCAGTATATACCATATACGCCTAAAATAAGAAAAAGCTTTAGAGTAAGCCACATATTCCCACCCAAGGTTTAGTGAAATGGTAAGTTCCTACGCTTGGTTTCACAAATTCTAGATCCTCACTCTTAAAGTAACACTGTTAGTAACGGTTGAGTTCTGACACAGATATAAAGGGTGTTATTATCAAATACCCTCGCATCTTTTTCTTCTTCATCTCCCCTCCTTCGCTATTACCAACCCCCAGCCAACCCCCGACTCTTCGCCTCCAGCCAATGTGTGACCACTTGGCCAGCCCCCAACGCCCACCGCCCCACTTGACACCACCAGCTGCTTCCCCTCGCCATCCCTACCAAAACCTTAACACCATCTGGCCACGCCACTCGCCGCCCGTCACCCAACAGTCTTTTCTCTATCATGCCACGCAACCTTGCGCTGCACTAGCCCATGCCACGCAACCTTGCGTCGTGCGATCCCATGACGCGACCTAATAGCCCCTGAGTCGTCGCACACCGCCACCATCAAGCCTATCAATTGAACCTCGCCACCTAGCCGCCTATTGCGCACCAATCATGCGTCGCTTACAGTTGTATTGCTTTGATTTTTGAAAGAATCAGAGTTTGATTGAGTTGGTTGTGTGACTAAATCGGAGTTTGGTTGAATTTGATTTTTGTTTCGAAGTTTGATTGTTTGCCCCAACTTCCCTCACCACCGACAACCCCATTGGTCTCCCCTTCGCCCACCACCCAAGCCTGCATAACACCCCCCACTTGCTCGATAAATTGCCCCAACCAAGTGTTGATGTTGGCCCTTCGCCTATAGATCTAGTTTATTATTAACATGTATTTTGAGTTTTATTAATTTGGATTGATTTGAGTTGTGTGTTGCTGGATTCTCGAATTATTTTAGTTTTTGGATTTGGGTGTTTTGATTTCAGGGTATGAAGTTTGGTGGGTGGCAGTAGTCGCTAGGTGGTGATGCTGCTGTTGGCTTGCCATTAACAAGAGGTTGTGGTGGCGTCGGTTAGACGGCGGGTGAGAGAGGTGTTTTTACAGAAATGAAAATATTAAAATATAGTAAATGATCATTTTAACCTTTAACGGTTAAAAGAAAAGAAACGATGTTAATTTAATGATGAAAATCTAGAATTTATGAACCAGGGTTGGGAACTTGCCATTTCGCTATACGTTGGGTGGGAACATCTCGTTTACTCAAAGCTTTAACATGTCGCAGGTTAAGATGACAGTGTTTCTA